CATCTGGTTCTCTGCACATTCACGTGGGTAGGCATATTTTAACTCCCCCCTCAAGGTGGAGTGAGTTTCTATCACTCCAAGCTTGTCTCCAAGGAACAAGAACCTCGAATGAGCAAGTGGTTTTGTCAATAGATCTGCTGTCTGATCTGATGACGGAACATAATGTATTTCCAACTCTCCTCTTAGCACTTTGTCCCTTACAAAATGAACATCCAATTCTATATGTTTGATGCGAGCATGATAAACAGGATTCGAAGTTAATGCACTTGCACTCAAATTATCACACCAAATTCTTGGAACTGATCTTTGTGGTATTTCTAACTCACTCATCAAGGATTGAATCCATGTAATGCTCTGTACTCAACCTTAGTGCTTGACCTGGCAATGACATGCTATTTCTTAGAGCACCATGACACCAGACTATCTCCAGTGTATACACAATAGCCTGCAGTTGATTTCCTATAGTCTGGACATGAGGCCTAGTGAGAATGAGCAAACACTATAATGTCAAGACTATCACTCTTTTGAATAGCAAGGCCATGACTTAGTGTTCCCTTTAGGTATCTAAACACGCTTTTGAGTGCCTTCCAGTGAGCATCCATGGGCGTTTGAAGGAATTCGCTCAGCTTATTTATAGCATAGGTGATATCTGGCCTTTGAAGGCCACTGATTGCACTTATGTACAATGTTAGGTTCCTCATAGCTTCTCCATCAGTCTTGGAAATTAGTTTGCCTACTACCATGGATGTTAGACTTGGTTTCAAGTTATCATAGCCAAACTTTCTGAGTAGGCCCATAGCATACATCCTTTGAGTTAAGTACAATCCAGTTGCATATCTACGTACCTCAATTCCTAGGAACTAATTGAGACTTCCCATATCCTTAAGTGCAAAGCTAGTGTTTAGTTTATCAATGAACTCTTGCAACTGTTGATTGTTGTTACCTGTAATCACTATATCATCCACATATATTAGTACAAATAGCACATCTCTTTCATTTGCCAGGAAGAACAGAGAATTGTCTGCTTTGGACTGTCTGAACTTCCATTCTAACAAGCTACTCTTCAGATTTTCATGCCATGCTCTTGGGGTTTGCCTTAATCCATATAGAGCCTTTCTCAATTTACAAATAAATCTAAGATTTTTCTCATCCACAAATCCTTGTGGCTCATCCATGTATACTACCTCATTCAACCTTCCATTCAGAAAAGCAATATTTACATCTACTTATTTGATTTCCCAGTCCTTAGAAACTGCAAGTGTTAGAATAATTTTCAAGGTTTATGCCTTAACAACATGGCTAAATGTTTCACTAAAGTCTACTCCAGGAGTTTGAAGGAAACCCTTGGCCACTAGTCTTGCTTTGTGTCTTTACACTCTTCCTTCTGAATCATACTTCAGCCTGAATGCTCATTTATTTCGAATTGCCTTCATTCCTGCTTTATGAGGCACTAATGTCCATGTTTCATTTCTCATTAGTACTCTTCTTGTATAACCTTTCTCCAGTGATCATTTAGCAGTGCTTCATCAGCATTCAATGATTCGGTTTCTGCCAATTCGTCCAGTACCTGGCTTGTGTAAATTTTTGGTTTGAAAATTCCAGCTTTGCTCCTGGTAATCATCTGGTGCCTATACTTTAAATCACATTTTCACCTTGTATGTCTACATTATCTGCTACATTTGCAGTATCATATTGTTGGACTTATACATCACATTTAGCTAATTCTTCTTGGTTTGTATCATCAAAATTATTTTCTATAACTGCTCCACCTTTAATTCCCATTTCACTGTTAGAGGATCCTGCAGCTGGTGATGAATCGGGCTGAGTTGTATCAGTTGTAGTTTGAGGAACAGTTCTATGACTGGACTCAACAAAAGAAAAAAGACTCATAATGGTTTCAGAGGTTTGTGGCTGGGTTAGTTTGTTTATGAAACCTATTTTGAAGGGAAACTCTAACTCATTGAATACTACATGTCTGGAGATGTAAATCCTACCAGTATAATTTAGGCACGTGTAACCTTTATGTGAGTCACCATAGCCAAGGAAGACACATCTTTGAGAGTGTAAGCTGAATTTGTACTTTTGATAAGGTCTGAGACAAGGGTAGCATACACAACCAAAAGTTTTCAAAAATTTGAAATCAAAGTTTCTTGCAAACAATGTTTGAAAGGGTGATTTGTGTTGAAGAACAAAGGTAGGCAGTCTGTTTATCAAGTAGCAACTTTGAAGGATTCCCACCGGTAAAATAGAGGCATGTGGGCTTGAGCTAGAAGTGTAAGCCCAGTCTTAGTGATTTGCCTATGTTTCCTTTCAGCCCTTCCCTTTTGTTCAGAGGTGAAAGGACATGTGTGCCTAAGTTCAATATCAGACTCCAAGGCAATCTTGACAAAGTTCCTGAACTCTCCTCCCCAATCTGATTGTAATGCTTTAATCTTTCTTTCTAACTTATTTTCCACTAGTTTTTTGAATTGAATGAAGGTATTTGTGCATCTGATTTGTGCTTCACAGGATATAACCATGTAAATCTACATCCACAAAAATTATATAATACCCAAACCCTAAGGTGGAATTTAAAGGTGCTGGTCCCCAGACATTGGTGTGCACAAGGTCTGGAGGTTTTGAAGCATGTTTTGAGGAGGTATTGAATGGTAAAGCATGAGACTCCCCAAATTTACATGATTCACAGAAAGTTGTAATTTCATTAGTTTTAGTATATTTATTACATGACTCAAGAACTCGATTCAGAACATGGCTCGAAGGATGGCCTAGTCTTCTATGCCAAACATCAAGTTCAGACTCTGACATTTTGATAACTTTGGTTGACTCAACACTACTGGATCTCATTGTGAGGTAGCTAGACTTATTGTGGTGGTTTGACTCTGCAGTAAGGTGTTCGGGTTTGAGGTATGGTAACTTCAACTGATACAATCAGTCCTTAAGCATCCATTGCAGTAGAATCCTCCTCGTTTGTAGATCCTTCACAACACAATAGTCAGGGAAAAATTCCACAAATACTTTGTTGTCATTGGTGAGCTGAGAGACACTAATTAAGTTCCTTTTAATTGAGGGTACATGCAATAGTCTATTTAGTGCAAGAAGTCTGTTATCCATTGTAGGCATATTTCAATTTCCAACATGTGCAATGTGTAATGAATTTCTATAACCGACTAGCAATTTTTCCTTACCTTCATATCTTTTGACAATATGCAAATTACCTTTGTCTACTGTAACATGATTGCTTATACCTGAGTCTACAACCCAGGCTAGATTTTCAACTCTCCTTGGTGAATCTACATATGCTGAAGGTACTAAGCTGGTGTGCTGGTTCATTTGGTTGCTTGGTTTACTACCCATGTACCTTTCATCATACCTGTTGAAGCACCAGCTTGCAGAGTGGTTGCTGATCCCACATATTTGGCATGGTCCTCTGTTTTCATGATGCCTGCCAGCTGAAGTTCTGGTTCTACCTCTTGCTTTGCCTCTGAAGTTCAAAGATCTTCCATTGTTTGTTCCTCTAAAACGTCTGCTAGTTTCTGAACTTACTATGTGAACTAGTTGCACACTTGATTGACCAACATTCATTGACGAAAAATTGTTCCTGACTTGATTCGGATATTGAAGTCTACTTTCAAATGTCATAAGTACTGATGATAGTTCATACCATGAGATGTTATCCCTACTATTAATCTGCACTACGATGGGTGTGTATTCCTTATCTAATGGACATAGCTCCCTTCCTTGTGAACACAATTCTCGATTTGTATAATATGCCATAGCTTTCTTCTACTGTAGTCCACAGTTTGTTTGAACTGGTACATCCCATGACTTTCATTGCTATCTCTACAGTCATAGATGAATATAGCCACCCCATCAGTAGTTGATCAATTGAGATCCACCTATTATACTGAGGATTCAGGGTCATTTCCACTGCTTCTCCCTGTCCAACCTTGGTTTGTGTGGCTAGAAATTCTGGTGGACACTCCTTTGTACCCAGCAGATAACCTTCCAAGTTATGCTCTCTGATTATAGGCATAATCATATTTTTCCACAACAAGAAATTATTTTTGTAGAGCTTCACCGATGGTGTTTGAGTAAAGTTCATTCCAAAAGGTGAGTCCTGGCTTACAGCAATTTGAGTGACTGGTTTCGTGCTCAGATCAGTTGGGTTGGAGTGATTTCCTGTGTTGGTATTAGCCATAGTGGCTCTGATACCAAGTTGAAGATTGAAATAAGTTTTGATTTGAACCAACAACTATATTGAATGAATGAATTTCACTATCTTCGGCTCTTTCCTTCTATTAGTTTATATATACATTCAACCTATATAAGCATATCTATACAAAGAATATTCTAGAGAATTAGGTGCCATAAGGCTAACCGATTTCTTCATTCCACTCTTGAAAATCAGAAAATACCAGCAAGCATAGTGGCAGTGAGAATTTGTTAATTCAGCTAGTTCTCTGCTCATTCACGTTGGTAGGCATATTTTAACTGAATCTAGATAATTACTTAATCTAAAAGATAATCACAAAAATTAAAAGCCCTAATATTTAGAATTAATTCGAAATAAAGGGAATTAAAATCTGAATTTATTTAATAAAGAAATAATAACTAAAAGAAAATTAAAAACTCAATTTTCATCAAATGGGTTCAAATAGTAATGCTAAGATGCGAGCCTTAGTTTCGTGATTTTGAATGCCATGCCCATCTCCATACTGGTACATGTATTGTGCCATTCTCGCAAGATTCACTGCAATTTCAATAAAAGTTCTTGAGAATGGACAACTTGTTTCTTGAACTTTATTCATTCTTTTCCACGTCTCACGTATTGAAGATCTTATGTGTTTGCGTGCCTCATCTTCAGAAGCACCAGTTTCTTTCATGTAACATTATATTGTTTTAGGAACATCGCCTCTTTTCATTTCATCCTGAGAGAAAGAAAACGAAATAAACTGTTAGTTTTAAAGGGTTAATTTCGAATTCCTAATGTCTCAATGATTTCATAAACAAGAATGAACCTGGAAACATGAAATGAAATTGTAGTCCACACACGCACCACTGATGTTCCTAAATCATCTGAAAGACGTAAAATCGTTGCCGACCAATGGATTAAATCGGGATAATCCTGTAAGTACTGGACGGCTTCCTTCTCTATAGGACTGGTAACAGCGAAAAACGCATGGGATAGTATGACATGAGCTGATATTGAAATCCATGCAATGTTCATATACTCTTCGATTGTTGGTTTGTATCCATTGAAGTACCACCTTGCCTCTTGTAAGTATGCTTTGCATAAATCTGTCCACTGCCAAATTTGAAAAGATTACTGTATATGGCTTCAATATGGAAACTGATATAAGGATTGTGTATCGGACTTTTTGAAGCAAAAATGATACCGCTTTTCTTAAATACGGAATTATTAGAAACCCTTTTTCTTTAAGAATGTCGTAAGCCATTTCATTGACGAAGTTATTGAGTGCTAGATAGCAAATTTGCATGTNTCTGTAGAGTTCCAACCAAATAATATTTATAGGAGTCAGAAAGGGGAAAAAAAAAATCAATATATCAATAATAAGTTGGTCCTGAACTTTGAAGAAAAGCAAGTTCATACCTTACATTTTATTATTGTTTAACAACCGGCCCAATAATGAAAACCATAATTTTCATAAAATCTTCGTGTGGCCCTCACAAAAACATGCATCACTTTAAATTACAACACACCAGTCCTTTGTTAGAAAGTAAAACCTAGTTTCATGAAGTTGATTATGCAACGACCACATTTTGATTAATTTAAAATAGATTCGAACCATTTCTTGAGAAATAATTTTGCAACTATAAATAAAATTAATAACCTGCTTGCCCATTGTTAAAGGTCGAAAACCAACTTTCTACTTGAAGAATGGAATAAGCCAATTATTTAATTCTCCCCATCACATACACCTTTTAATCTACAATGTACTGCGTTGACAAACTTTGATTGTGTCCTTTAACAAAAGGACTTCGTTTTTTTCTTTTTCCTTCTTTTTTTTTAATTGGTTGGGGTTGGGGGTGGGGGTGTGTCTGAAATGAGGAATAAGGATGTTGCTAACCTTTCAATGATTCTTGTAAAAACTTCTAGTTCATCTAATGTACCATAGACATCATATATATCATTTATGGTTGTTACTAAAACATTGACCTTCGTCAATATTTTCCTACAAAATTCATATTGTGGTTCAAATATCACCCCAGTAGTCCAAAAGAAACATTCCACCAGCCTATCCCTCGTAAAGGACAACTTTTCGGCAAGGCACGTTCCCTTCCACCACCTATTCATAGAAAACGCAGACGGAAATAAACAAAAACATTTGTAACGTCTAGACATCAAAATTCAATATATTTGGCCCATGTATTTAAAATGTAAAAAGAGATAGAAATGTGCAAATTTATTGGTGTGGGAATTTATACACATTTTCTACCACCATAACAAATTTTTTTAGTAGTAAAGTGAAAGGCAAATTTGTTCCTCCATCAAATTCCCTATTGAGTTGCCTCTGATTGAAGACAAGTAGTCATGTCAATTTGTCTTTGGGTGAATAGAGCATCCTATCAATAAATACCTGGAGAGATGTTTTAGTTCCTGCTGATATTTTGCTTCAACAATGTTGAAATCCAATTCAGCCAGCTCAAGCAGAACTGGATTCGTGTCTGGCCTGTCCTTGTTTACGTTTATGAACCATCTTGCCTCTGCTTGTGGTATGGTCCAGTGCAGCAGAAGCTCCAAGCCATGGTGCACCAATCGAGAATGGAACTGATCGATACTAGTTTGATCATTAAGGTGTTTCATAGTGAATTCTGTAGCCATTTCTAAGGTACTTTCACCTT